AATTTTTCTTGGTGCCCAAAATAAGAGTGTGCTTGATATCAAATCTGAAATAATACTCGAAATAATTAACAATGAACTGGATATGTAAACCGTAACAGCTATAATTGAAGAATATACAAAAATGATCCAATCCGTTTGAAGAAGAATTTAAAACGATCTCAGCTTTTGTGTATATGCCATATGGTAGTACATCGAGTACAGTTACAAACGATAATCTTTTCTTATCGTGTTCATTCGGTTGTGCACAATCTTTTACGATATTGGAATACAAGACATTTTCTCTTTCTTGAAATGGCTGTAGTTCTACGAAATAATGTTTTGTAATTAAAGAATGAGACAAGAGATAGGCGAATATGTGCTAAAAAGTAACACAGTCAATCATTGACTAGATACGAGACTTAAACACCTAATATAACTCAACGACTATACTAATCTGGGATGATGTATTTTGTCTCTGTTTTTTCTTCTCTACGTGTATCATATTCACTTTATTCAAGACCCTATTCTTCCATGTATAATATAATGATTCGTCAATTTTGTGCATGATAGATATGACAAAACTGCAAAGATTTGGTATTCTGTTGTTCTTCTTGACCATAAAATAAAGTTTAAACTAAAACTAATAAGAAGACTTGCAAGAATGAATAGAGAAGATCTGGTATCGGATTTTAATATTTTTTACAAAACTAATGTTTTCTTTCGATAGTCTAATTTCTCGAGCACTATAATGGGATTTATATTTGTATTCTAGAAAAAAAAAGTCATTTAGGTGCTGTACACAGAATAAACACTTTGATTTTGGCTGGTTCACCGAAAAGATTTTTTGGAATGACGTTAACGATTTGTTAAAACTGTGATGATTTGTTGGTTCGATGGTAAATGATTTATTTTTATTTGATTTAATATCATCAATTTGTACATCCGGCAGACTTATTTTCAAACGTTTACTCAGTATAAAACGAATAACGCCATCTAATCCTTCAACAATTATTGAAACTATTTTATTTTCTGTTTTATTAAATTGATGATATGTTGTATTAGATGATGGTGTTGTCTGTCGTTTTCCAATGCCGTAAGTGTGATTTGTATTTGTTGTTTTCCGTTTCTATGATGGTCCACCGGCTTTAGATTGTTTTCGTGTAGGAGAACTATCCACCTCCATCCTGGTTTGAATAGTAAACTATGTACTCTTACGTTGTTGATGAATGTTTCACCCGTTATTGAAGAGTCACGAGTATAAAAGAAGTTATCGATCTGAAATATAAACCAATAAAATAAGGGTAGAAATACTTAAGTTTCCTTTAAAAAATTTGTTCTTCTCATGTATTTTGCGCTCTTCCAGTTTCATGTATTCATGTGTAAACTCGTGATAACTGGTTATCATTTCTTAACGCATGAGTATGCATTAAGAAATAGCGCTACGTAATGTATCATAACCAGCGGTTAGATGATAATAGGTTAAGAAACTCCGTTTTAATAGATTAACCTGCATTATTTACTCAAAAATAACATGTATTGAATTTTAATGCATATTAATGCCTCAAAAATTTTCAATGGGTATTGCAGCGTATCTAGAGTTTGATTTATAAAAAATTAGTCTTTGCCTCCGCTTCCTTGTGCGACGTTGCTAAACGTCGACGTGGTTATTATGATTAAAAAGATCACTCCAACTAGCATTATCGGAATTTCATGAATCATACATTCACTCGCGTTGGAAAAGAAAGAGCTTAGAATCAGTCGTTCGTTGATACGCTTGTATTCTATCATGTATGTATCAGTCTATTTGTCTTTAATGTCTGTCTTTTTTGTAGCATGTCTAATTTGTAACATTAAAAAATTCACTATTCACTCAAAAAACATCACAACAAGTTCAAAATTTCAGGATATGGTTAATTTTGCCCGCTAAATGTAATTATAAGATCGAAAAAATTGAACAAGCTTATTTTTGTTAATGGGTTTTTCAGAAACCCTTCCCAAAGAACGAGTACAAAAGTTCGGAATGAAGAGTATTTAGGCTATTCTATATCCTATTTATCGAAGATTCTTGTTTCTGATGTTTTTTGAGTGAATAGTGAATTTTTTAATATTAGATAAAAACAGCCTGAAAACCCCAATGTTCGTAAAACTCGCTTTTCCCCAGGTATTTAAAACTTTTTCTAAAAAAGTATTGCCACAAGACTCGGCATGATCGATTTCCTATAATCCATCAGTTTTCAAGGCTACCAATAGTCAATGAGTGCCAGTCCTGGGGCTTGCGGGAAATCCGATGCAACGCCTGAACCAAGAAAAATGAAGGTCTGGCTTGACTCCCGTTTTGAAGAGGAAGTTCCGGGCTATCAGCCCATAGATAAATATTAATACAATCCTATTGGAAAACTTTTACACACAAGCTGATTTTTCAAAGTTCTCATAGAAAATCTGTTTCACAAAACTCTTCTGAAAATTGTTTGCTTGCGAAAACATGTCTCCAAGTCTCTTTTTTCGCATGGCGAAAATTGGAGCTCTCTAGCTGCTTTCTATCAAAATTTATTCAAAACACAGCCACGTTTGTTATATTTTGAAATGGATAGCAGTACTCGTTCTGGTCGTAGCTAGTACTAGCCTGATAATGGTTGGAACATGTACCGATCCTCATCATAAGGCGGAAATAGTGCATTCCATAGTCTAGGCTATAGTTAACCGATCTTATAGTAATGAATCACTTATGTGACGGAAAACTTTGAAAATTTGTCATTACATAAATGTTTCTCATATACTATGTATTTCGGCAAAACAAAAAGGTGAATGCGTCTTGCGCAGTTTGAGCACGAATCGTGGAGGATTTCTGAAAAATTCGTAGTTTTAGCATAAATATTTTGAGGGATTACGTAAAGAGTTTTGTAAGAACCCTTCATGAATCCTGCGAAAAAGGGAAGCTGGCAGGATTCCATCAAATCTCCTGAGAAAGTACTTTTTGCACAACTTCTTCGGGATTTATAGCTAAAAAAGTGGACTAGGACTGTTGTTTACTGCCGAGAGAAAGTTTATTACTGTTCATGACTGACAAAATTTATAGTCTTATAAAGCAATATGAAGCGTTGGTATTAGATTTTCGCTTGTTTGTCTAGGTCTAATGGGAAAAGCATATGAGAATGAGCGCACTTCAAATAATCTGGTTTAGACATCTCGTTTACTTGCTAATTTATGAAGTCTGATTCAATTTTGATAATTTTTCCGTGTGTTTTACATCTTTGTTTCTAGTACAAAATATATTAGTTATTTTTGTCTGTATATCGTATCATTAATATTTTTTCCAGTAATAAATGTTAGCATATGTTAGCGAAAAATTAATTATAGTTAATTAATACGAAATAACTCGTTTACAAGAAAAATCACAAGACAATATGTGATACTACCATTGATACTTGCAGAAAAATGAAAGAAAGACTATTTTACGTTCTTTTATACTTTAGCATCTGTATGTCAACGTTATTCAACGGTTGTTTTAGTCCTTCAAATCTGTGGTAGCATTTAAAACTTGTTTGTTTTGTGATATTGTCCTCCAAAAATATTTGTCGAGATTTTCACAGAAAGGGAACAAATATACGTGATCGAGCATCCTGAGTATATCTGTATAGTAAAAATTATTTAGACTATAAAGATCATTTCCTGTGCAAAATTTCGTTGATAAGTCTCTGCTGTCTGCGTTTGTTTTAGCCAAATATAGATGCGACATAGCATGACTCAGCGATTTGAAAGTTTCATATTATCATATTTATATTTCTTAAAAATATTTTCTGTTTTTATAAAAAAAAATTTCGAAACATTTTCTCTTTTTAACACCAAACTATTAGCCGCATCCCACTGACTACAGCACAAGCCACTGGCCTCTAAATGGTCCTGACAAAGACACGGTAAAAGAGTGAAACGAAATGGTACAGATGTTTATGTCGTTATAAAATTCACAATTGACGAACCGAACTTCTTTTAGTTTACAAATGACATTATATAAATTTAGAGTTTCTTGCAGCATATGCGCTTCATATCAAATAAAATAGTACCAAATCCTCAAACTCCCTAATACACGTACATATAGAGGGAAAGTGGAGAAAACTAGTATTAATGTCTCTCATTCTATATATTCTGTTCAATAAAGTAGTATATTCTTGTTTGTTTATATAATATTTTGTTTGTCTCTAGGAGTTCCGTGGTATCAATAATTGACACCATACAGAAAAACTACCATCATATTTAATCCCGCTATATCTCCAATGATTTTGAATTATATTACTAAGCACAGTTTTGTGTATGACATTTAAAAAATAAATTCTTAATGCCATATATGTAAAGATACCAACAACACAACAAAGAGAGAACGAGAAAAATCGATTCGTTAGTTCATCATTCAGATGAATGGAAAAGAAAAAACTTCTTCATCATTAGTCCCTAATGAATAAAATTTCGAGAAAAGATGTGCAAGAAAAGCAACAAATTGTATAAAAAAAAAAAAAAATAGAAAATCGATTTCCCCTTTAAATGTGTGACGTCGACATCACTTTCTCTCTCTCTCTCTCTCTCTCTCGCCTTCTATTTTGACCGTTTATGTAATTTCTTCATTCTGTAAAGTAGCAAATAGATAGATAGATAGATAAATTAATATGGAACATTATGTGTGTCTCAGAGACTTGGCGACAATTTTTTTTTCAGATAACATATCCTTGTCCATTCCCTTTAGAATAGAACAAAACACAACAACGAGTAACAAAAAAATAATAAATCTAGCGCCGAAAAAAAAAAAAAAAAAAGAAGAAAAACTTTCATTGTTTGTCGAGCTCTTCTTCATTCTCTATAGTAGTAGTTCTGCAATTTTCGTCTCTTCCTTTCACTCTCTATTACTAAAAAATCTTTTTTCTCTTCTCTTCCTTTATTACAATAATAATCACACAATAATAGGAATAATAATAATCAGAGTATAAAGATATGACTGTGAAAAGGACATTAATGATTAGTGATAGTTGATCATGCGTAGTACAAAACTCGGATGGAAATTAGATGATGAACGACGACGAAAACGACCGCAAAATAACAATAATTTTTTAAACGAAAATCGTGAACCAGGTACAGTGATATCATATTGTTATCATATATAATATTTCTACACCTTACGTATGTGAGAGAGAATGATAATCTTATAATCAAAAATGTTGAAATTTGTGGGAATTATATAAAACCTGTCAAACGAGCTGAAGGTTACTTATGGATATTTCAAATGACAAACATTGTAATAGTGGGATGTAATACAAAATTGAATTGTGTCGTTTCTTGTTCCTTGACTACTGTCAAATTTCTAAAAATTCTCATCTGTTTCTTCTGTACCGAATAAAAATATGTCTCACAAATATCATTGTCAGACAAATTAATGTTTATTGAATCTGTCATCACAAAATATTAATTTATCTATTCTATTTCTCAGTTAACGATTTACTAATCTTTAAAGACAGAAAACATATTTCAAGCATGTTGAGGTACTATGAAAAAAAAAAAACTGTCTTTTAATCGATATATCCTCGATATATCCTCTTCCTAATTAATCTTAATCAAATTTTCGATTATCTTCAAGTAAAATTAGGAATCTATCTAAGGGAGAAGAAAATCATTTGAGTCATTTATTTTTTTTTATTATATCATATCATTTTTAATCATCAGTACGAAAAAAATTTCAAGAAAAAAAAACATGTTATTTTTCCTTTGTCAAAATCTTATCATCTTATTCTACTTTTCATCATTTACATCTATATCAACTGGACAAATATGAAAGTAATTTTTATACAATGTTTCGTTTATAGAACAACTATCTTAGCATCTTTTGACATGTCACGAACATTCAAGAGAAATTCATATATAAAAAATTTTTCTAATTTAAACGTTCATTTTTCTTAACCACTCATATTCAAGGCTCAAGTGTCTAAAATGATTGATCCATTCAAATAAAATTATACATGTCGAAAGAAAAAGGAATATATATATATATATATATATTTTTCTTGTTTATTAGTTTTTTTTATTTATTCATTTAATAAATTCTGTCAAGTGACTAGTACCACTAGAAGAAATGATAGATTAGAAACAGTTTAGAATACTAATGTGAGTTCAAACACGTTTTGTATTATATTCTAAATGTCTTTTTACAATTAATCATTTTTCAATAAGTAAAATTTGGCAATTTATTATTAAAGTGATTTACTATGATCGAACGTTCGATCTTTGTCACCTAGTAGTTGTTATTATTATTGTTGTTGTTGTTTTATCCTATCATCTACTTCTTCTGCTCAATGATGTGTGTGTGTGTGTGTATATATTCCCACTTCATATGAGAACTTGTATATTTTTTATTTTTTTTATTTATTTTTAGTTTTTTCATATAACAAGAAGAATTATTCGATTTCTCTTCTATACGTTAATAGTGTCGAGTACTAGTGTCAATAATAAAAAAAGAAGAAGAAGAAAAGTACATATATTTTTTTAGAAGGAGTGAATTATTGCCATTGATCTAGATAGACTATGTGTGATATTATTACACGCTTTTCTCTTGTTTGATAATGTCCTTTTTTCTTGTAAGTAAACAAAAAAAGTGTATGTATAAGTGAAATTAATTATGGTTACTAAAACAAACATGTTGTACACAATTAATAAGAAGAAATAACTTCTTGTTTATTTTTATTTTTGTTCAATCATTTGTTATAATTGAATCAATCTGATGTAGAGTATATACCATTCTATCAGCTATAGTGTATATACTAGTAGTGTTAAATTATTATAAATTTGTAGAGGTATATGTTTAATCACCACATATCTCTAGTATTTTTGTCAAATCATTGTTCATCAGAGATAAAAAAAAAAAAGAAATCTTTCTTTGTATTTGTGTTAACAAATATTGTTCACAGGAAATTATCTACACTTATCTATATAGATCCATGCAGAATAAAGCGAAAAATTTTTTGATGCGAATAAATATATTTTATTTATTCTTATAAATTTTATATTTCTCTCTCTTTCTTTTTCGCCCATTAAAAAATATTTTGTTATATTAATTTTGATATACGAAAAATAATAATAATAATAATAATAAAATTTTTTTTTTGTTTATTCTCTCATTTCTAATCGGAATGATGAGCGTCCATTTATATTTAAACATGTCATGTTCTATCTATATAACAATTATTTAACGAAAAAGAAAATAAGCTCTGCTCAAATAAATTAGTTCCTTCCGATTAAGTTCTCTTATTCTTCTTCTTATTCTTCTTCTTTTTTTTTTTTTTTTTTCTTTTCTTCTTATATCTTCTTTTTATTTCTCGTGAAAAACTATTATCGTCAAGAGATTTGATGTATATGGTGAACAAACGTAGATCAATTACACACATTTTTTTTTTTTTTTTTTTTATCAAAGAGTTAGTCCTAAAAAGATTTTTTAGACTATAAATATTTCTCTATAGCTATGAATGAGTTCTTGAAAAACAAAAAGATTGACAAACCGTACACAAAGGATTATAAGAAAATAAAAAAATATCGGATGTAAATTGATCGCATATTTTAGATAACAAATACGTGAAACTATCTTTACCGATATATATAGAGAGAAAGAGAGAAAGAAAAAAGAGTACTACCTGATTTTAGTATTTTCTGATAGAATGAATGTACCTAGTATTAAAAACAAGAGAATGTTTTGCAATACACAGAGGATTTGTGAAATATGAAACTTCATGTGATTATATATTTGTGAAATGCTGATGTTATTTGTTCATGTCTTGTTTGTTTTTTTTCCATCGACAATCGACCTATAAAGTATTTTCATATCACGAATAGAAAAACAAAAATTCATTTAGAGTCGTGGAAAAATGCTTTTTCATATTCGCCATACTCAATAATCTAGAAAGATTATTCTATTTTTGGCGAATGAGTACTGTCAACAATTTAAGAAAAATTTTCAAACAAAATGACGAAAAACCAAAAATTTTCATGAGAAAATAATAATTCGTTTGAAAATTTTTCTTAAATTGTTGACAGTACCGTTCGCCAAAAATAGAATAATCTTCTAGGTTATTGAGTGTGACGAATACGAAAAAGCATTTTTCTACGACTCTAAATGAACTTTGTTTTTTTTCTTAAACGTTTCAGGATGATTAGAACAGAATTAATCAAGCAGAACAACCAAAACTTCGATTCTTAACTGTTTATAGAACATTATTTTTAGAAAATTTACTAATCATCGGATATTGAATATTGAAATTTAGGTTGAATATTCCGTCCGTCGCATATTGAAATTCAATAAAATCGAATTCAATCAGTTTTTTCGTCGAAATTCAATTAACGGATCATGTTGCATCCGACTAAATCCAATATTTGAAATTAGTCAGATTGAAATGAATCTGATTCAATCAGGTTATCGGATTCCCGAAAAATCTGTTGTAGTTCTGTTAGATTCAATCGAACATATTTGACATGAGAATGTTTCTGACTAATCAGAAAATCATTATCTTGATTTAGTTCTGTTGTTAAAACGTTTTGAAAATAAGTACAAGAAGAGAGGATCATCAAATAATGATATATTATGTACTATATTAAAAATGAAATGTGGCTATTAATAGTTGCTATTATCCAAACATTTAGAACGGTCACAGCTACTATTCATAGACAACCGAATAATAAATTATGTTTATATAATTTATAATTGCTTGAGACATATGAATATGAAAATTATATCAAAGGCTCATTTTCCAGCAGTTTCATATAATTTCTTTTCTTCTCCTGTATGGTATATCTAATTACATGTGGTAAAAAATAATGAAAAGAGAAAAAGGAAGTAGAAATAGAGAAAAATTTGATAACAGTAGGAAATAGAATCCGGGTATTGTGTAGTAATAGCAGTCATTCGTTCATTAAATATTTTCTATTCAGTAAAATAATTATGATGACAAGTAAGTTGAAAAGTAGATAAAAGAAGTTGTGTATGCTTATCTATACATATTATACATACTAGTCTATAAAACTACAAATAATTATTAAAAGAGAAAATTATTTCACTAATAAAATATCAAATATATTCAGAAGAATAACAGTATTTACTCATTTTTAATTCAAATTCCTAGAGTAAAATTTTATTTTTTTCACTAATTTCATGGATATTATTTTCTATGTCAAATCAAGCGATTGTTTTAACATCACTTTAAAGAGTTGATCTTAGACTAGAAATTGATGAGAATATTTCTAAGTAGAATCGTATATTCATCATCAATTTCTACTGTATCATTCGTTGATCATTGATTTCGAAATTTCAATATTCCCACTTATTCTATCTAATAACTCATTTCTGATACCTCCCATTTAAGAAGGCGAACATGATTGAGCACTTAATTATTCGAACTCTGGATTACATGAATTTTTTTTTTACGAAATAGAAATATTGTATTGATTTTTTTTGCAGTTTATTTATTTTTTTTTAAAATAACAGATAGAAATGGTTAGAATATAGAAAAAAAATTCCCATAAGTCTATCTAGTAGTTTAAGTATAGAAAAAAAACCCAAGACTAATTATTTTAAATCATACCTGCAAATTTTCAATTGATCTTTGTTGTCTTCAACTTTTATGGCTGAAGTAGACATGTGTGTTTGTGTGTCTGTTTTTCTCTCTCTCTGCCTATTATTTATTGAAAATGATTTGATATAGATCATTGTCAGTCGGGTTATTATTTGCATATTCATCCAAAAAACAGCCAAAAGCCATGACTGTGGATAATTAACTTTTTCATGTCTCAACAAGACATTTATATACTCATTTATTTATGTCATAGATTAATTCTTTGCTAATAGGAACTGTAGTAGAAACATACATATATTTTTAAAAAAAATAGCAAAAAAAATGTTAAATGCTGTTTAACAGTTAATTATTAACATTTAACTCATTGAAGAATTATTAGAAAAAAATAATTTGTTTTTTGTCTTCGATTCTAATTCTAATAATATTCAAATGTTTAACCTTGCTATGAAAATTAGATGAGTTTGTTTATTTTATTTGAAAGGGAGGGAAACATACTGAATATTTCAAACTGTACACAATAGCACCTTGTCAAATATAAAAAGAAATTGGTAGATATGTCTCATCTGTTAAACAGTTTGACAATGAAAGAAAACATAAAACAATAGACAATGATGATGATGATGATGATGATGATGATGTTTTTTTTGATGAAATAACATATCTTGCGGAGCGATCATATACATGTCAAAAAAAGAAAACGTATATAGATAATATATAGATGTTGTTAGGCGATTAAGGCTAGAATTGATCGTATAAGCGAAAGCAGTTGCTGTAGCTTAATCGTTTTTTTGTAAAAGTAGATGTAAATACAATGGAAGATGGTTAGGTTCTATACAAACATAAAAAGTAAAATACTTTTTTTTGTTAAAATTGTTTTTTTTTCTATTTAATTTAGATTCTCATCAAGACTATGCTTTAGGATTATGTGGATACATTCTGGTTGGTTTATCATATGTGCTTATTTGTTTAACATTTCCATTTTCGTTAACAGTATGTTTAAAAGTATGTATGGTCGTATGTTTAGTAGAATAAAATAATAATGAAGTTGAATTATTCTCACTTTTTGACGAGTTTAAATGTGTTTAGGTTGTTCAAGAATATGAGCGTGCCGTTATGTTTCGTTTGGGTAGGATACTCGGAGGTGCAAAAGGTCCAGGATTATTTTTGATTGTGCCATGTGTTGACACATATACAAAAGTAGACCTACGTACAGTAACATTCGATGGTAAGTTCTTTACATTTTATTTCAGTAAAATCAAATATAAGTTAATTTTTCGTTTTAGTACCTCCTCAAGAAGTATGCTGTTTAGTAAACTTTCCTATTCCTAAAATAGAATATTTTCTTATATTTTCTTTAGATTTTGACAAAAGATTCTGTTACAGTTGCAGGTAAGTTTAACATTGGCGATAATAATATTGGATGAAATTTATCTTTTATTTATTTTTATTTTTTTTATAGTTGATGCCGTTGTCTATTTTCGAGTGTTTGATCCTGTTATATCTATAACAAATGTGGAAGGTAAGTTAAATTAAAATGAACAATTTTCCAAAAACATTTGGTATTATACTTAATTAACAATTTAGATGCACCAAAATCTACTCAGTTACTTGCAGCGACAAGTCTTCGAAATGTGTAAGAATTTGAAATTTAAACGTTCATCGTACAGCATGCTTATACCATGCATTACAGTTTAGGTACAAAATCATTACAAGAGATTTTGTCTGATAGAGAATCAATTGCTCAAACTATGCAGGTATCTTGAATAGATCGAATATGATATGTGAATCTAATATTTTATTACATTTTCAGGCAGCTCTTGATGAGGGTACCGAATGTTGGGGTGTACGAGTAGAACGAGTGGAAGTGTAAGCTACATTTAGTTCAGATTAGTCATGAAAAAAGACGTCAATAACGTTCATTCCATTTCTATTTTAGAAAAGATGTAAGACTACCAGTTCAACTTCAACGGTATCGTATACATCTTATCTTCTTTCCTTCAAATTAATAATCGATTATCTACTTTAGTGCAATGGCTGCAGAAGCTGAGGCAGCAAGAGAAGCCCGAGCGAAAGTCATTGCGGCAGAAGGCGAACAAAAAGCATCACGGTATGTTATTATTAAGATTAAATGTATGAATTAAAACAAACAATTCATTTCTTTAGAGCTTTGAAAGAAGCAGCAGATGTTATTACACAGTCTCCGACTGCCTTGCAACTTCGTTACCTACAAACTTTAACTACTATTGCAAGCGAAAAGAACAGTACTATTGTGTTTCCAATACCAGTGAGTTATTCAACTTATTTTTGCAATTTTTAATATACTAGGGCATTTGCCTATGCTTCATTTTAGATAGAATTTATGCAAGCTGCGATATCAAGATTTTAACACATCAAAGACAAGGCAATATTTTGTTGTAATTTGTACTGGCCATTTTCCGTTATCTAAATCTATAGATATTGTGTGCTATTTTACTTCGAACTACGTTTTATTTTTGTATTCAACTTCTTCTAATAAAGATGTAAATTGTTGAGTTAAGCTAAGAAATGAGTTTCTTTAAGAAATACTTTTCTATTTCTAGATTGTTTCTAATAGTATACGAAAACTTTTTCTATTGCCATTGATATATATATATTCATCTCAGCCATTTTAAATACAAATCATATCTATTTTATTTTCGGCGCCGCATTACTAAACAATTGTTCTTTCGACGCGTAGCTATCTAATAAACTAGTACATCGACTCTTTCGCGAACAAAATTCTGTTCACACTCTCTCACGCTGCTTACTGCCATCACATTTCAATTCCCGAAAGAGGCGTGTCACGAAATAAACTGAAAACGTGGACGCTCATAACCTTTGAATCATCATTGATTTATCTTGTTGAGTCCTCAGAACATAAGAATGATATACCAACCAAGAAATATATTTAGAATAATTCACTTTGAGAAAAATCCAACATCAGAGGTAGTGACAAAAAGAAAAAAAAACACGTATAACTATACAACAGAGACGAGAAGAAAAGACGATACTACTCTTTAAAAAAGCACATTTTTTAAAACACACATAAGCAACAGTATAAAAGAAAAAAATTTAAAAACATTTTCGGTGTACGATGGACGGTCCACTTTCATCATATTCTTGTTTTGATATCCACATTTGTTGAAATGTTGATAGAGATGCCAAAATACTTCCACCAATCCATACTGAATATTTTCGTTCAGGTGGCGCGATGATTTTGATTTTCATTGTTGACGGTGCTAATGATGTGATTTCTTTTTGCATACGATCTGCAATACCTGGATACATAGTTGTACCTAGAAAAGAAAAATGAAAACATTTATCACCTGACATTTTTCTTCTTACTCTAAAATACATACCGCCAGATAAAACTGTATTAGCATATAAATCTTTTCGTATATCAATATCGCATTTCATGATGGAATTGTATGTTGTTTCATGAATACCTGAAGTAAGAGAATATTTAGTTTAAAGGTTAAAAGTGAGACACGACGTAGTACGTACCAGCTGTTTCCATGCCAAGAAACGACGGTTGAAAGACAGCTTCTGGACATCGAAAACGTTCATTTCCAATTGTGATTACTTGACCATCCGGTAATTCGTACGACTTTTCTAATGATGATGACGATGCAGCTGTGGCCATTTCTTGTTCAAAATCCAATGCAACGTAACACAATTTTTCTTTGATATCACGAACAATTTCACGTTCAGCTGTTGTAACAAACGAGTAACCACGTTCCGTCAAAATTTTCATCAAATAATCGGTTAAATCGCGTCCAGCCAAGTCCAAACGAAGAATAGCATGTGGTAATGCATAACCCTAGATAGAACAACAGATATAATTGAGCTTTTTATACACAAGAAAGAACGTACTTCATAAATTGGAACGGTATGAGTAACACCATCTCCAGAATCCAAGACGATACCCGTTGTACGACCGCTAGCATAGAGTGACAAGACAGCTTGGATTGCAACATACATAGCTAGAACAAAAATATAACTGTTTGTTTCTTTAACTTTTGTTGCTTTTCCTCTAAAACGTACCTGGAGTGTTAAACGTTTCAAACATAATTTGAGTCATTTTTTCACGATTTGCTTTTGGATTCAATGGTGCTTCAGTTAATAAAACGGGATGTTCTTCAGGTGCCACTCTCAATTCGTTGTAAAATGTGTGATGCCATATTTTTTCCATGTCATCCCAGTTTGTAACGATGCCATGTTCAATTGGATATTTTAATGTGAGGATTCCACGTTTTGATTGAGCTTCGTCGCCGACGTACGAATCTTTTTGTCCCATACCAACCATGACACCCTGATGACGTGGACGACCAACAATTGACGGGAATACTGCGCGGGGTGCATCATCACCGGCAAAACCAGCTTTACACATTCCTACAAACAACAGCAACAGAAAATTAATCACAACTACGTTCAAGGTATTTTCATTTCATAAAGCCTCTACAAGCAATATAAATTTAAGTGCAGTTTTGCTTTGTATTGTTCCTTCTATCTCTACCAAGGCTTCTTTATTCGAAAAAAGTAGACAACAATCAGAGATACTTGCCTGAACCATTATCGATTACCAAGGCAGCTACATCATCGTCGCACATTGTTAAAGTTTAATATTATTGTACTAAATTAATGTGAAAAATAATTGGTTTGATATATAGCACACTTCTTTCTATAAGTCTTTTCAACAAATATCTGGCCGTTAAAATCGTATCGTCACTGATGTTTTATACACGAACGTTAAAATCGAATTTTTTTCTTTTTTCTTTTTTTTTCTTTTTTCCTTCGTTTAAACAATTTTATTTGTTTTACCATATATGGTAATGTGAATGAATCGACTTGAACCAATCATAATGATTATTGTACTTCTATTCTTTTCACTTCACCATGTTTAGTCAGTATGTATAATACAATAATAAAAATGGATTTTTTGATGAATCATTCACATTTCTTTCTTCCATACTCACCTTTCAAGAAATATATATATACAGTGACAGTAGATTCTAGAAAATGTTATAGACGTTTTTCAAAACAAAGACGTAAAACCCTACGATGTTCTTTCTGCTTCTAAAATAGTTGATTATAATGTTTAGCATATTTATGTAGCTGCATTTGAAAAAAATCTTTTGAAATGTGAATATCAAAATCACTCACTCAAAACAAATGAAAGATACCACAATCTTTGTTTGAAAATGTCTCAAAGGAAATGAAGAAAAGAAAGAAGGATGGATTCGACTATATTGATACAAGAGTAGTTAAGTTTTCTTAGCTCGAACAAATTACTCTTAGATATGAAGTGATAAGATTGGATCCAGAAAAAATGGAAAACAGAATAAACAGCATGATGTCAGAATGCTCATTGATAGACGGAGTATTATCATGAAGATAAATGAGAAAGAAAAGTTATTGTATAAAGCAAAACAAGAAACATATGTACGACGCATTCATTGGCTAAACACTCGACACACTTAGCTTTTTGGTGTTTGACATTTTGCTAGTTGAGCACGCATGAGTAGAAAATTGACGAAAAAATAACATCTTTGCAACATGGTAAATGAATCTTTTGTTATCTGTTACAATTAATAATTTGAAATGTAGAATACATCTAAGAAGTCTTTTGCATTGTGTATGATTCACATTCAATCTGTTGCGTCGTCGTTTGTCTCGTTTTCTCTTGATTGTTGACATCTTTTTAGATCTCTTGATTCAATTAAACTAACTATGGGCATTCTTGAGAAAATTACTGATATTGAGAAGGAGATTGCTCGTACACAGAAAAATGAAAGTAGATCTTTTTACTAAAAAGATTACTCTAAAAATCTTTTTGAGAGATAGTGAATATGTTTAACGACCGACTATCATCTTGATTTATTGAAAGTTAAATTAGCGAAATGTCACCAAGAATTGATAAAATCGTCGAAAAATAGCGAAAAAGTATACTATTATTACTTCTTGCTATTTATTTTATTATAAATACATTCTTCTCTTGTAGGAAGAAGGATTTGATATAATGAAATCAGGAGATGCACGTATTGCTTTAATTGGTTTTCCATCTGTATGTAACTGAAAGAAAAACAAGTATTTTTATCGTCAAAAACTAAAAACAATTTTTAGGTTGGAAAATCGACAGCGGTAACGAAAACAGCTAGCACATCGGCTGCATATGAACTTACCACTTTGACATGTATATCATGTTTATAAACTGTACTAAAACGCCATGTTCTTCGTTTTATATTTAGGTGTTATCGAAGTAAGTAAATGAGCGAAAACTGCTCCTCTGTCTTTCATCAAATCTAAGAATATTGTTTTCTATTTTTGTTTAGTGTAATGGAGCTGAAGTAAGTAAGAAAGAAATTGAAGTTGAAGGGATTGACACGATTAATGTTGTAATTTTCAAACTTTTATATTCAATTGTTTGATCTACCTGATATTATTGAAGACGCTGCTCAAGGTTTGCTTTTTCTCCTTATTATTTCCAGTTATACATGATTGTGACAGTTATTCAATTTTTTGTTCACGGAAAGGTCATGGTCGGCAAGTTTTTGCCGTGGTACGGACATCTGACATGGTTTTAATGATGCTTGATGCAACAAAAGGAGAAGTACAAAAGTAAGATATTGAAAAGTTGTCTTTACTTTCAATTAATATTTTAATACCGTTTCTTATTCGTTTTAGAGAAATATTAGAAGCTGAATTAGAGTCTGTTGGTTTTCGATTGAATAAGAAAAAACCAGATATTTATTTTAAAAAGACAAGAAAAGGTAAAAAAGTAAAAGTTTTCAAGTAAGTCTCTGACATCAAAACAATGATCACCTAACTTTCTGGCAACAAAGGTGTCCTCTTTTGTTTTAGATTGAAGAAAACGGGCGGTGTTAATATTACTTCAACAGTACAATATTCAGAATATTCAGAAAAACTGATTTAGTTAGTATTACATGAATATAAACATTCTTTTACAATTAAATTCTGTATAAAGCTCGCTATGAGATATTTACAAGATTATATGATACATGAAAATGATCAAATTAAAATAATTTTCGCTTCACTGATAAATATTTCTTAACGCAGTTTTAACGATATTCAATGCTTAAGTATTATTTCGTGAAGATTGTACACCTGATGAATTTATTGATGTTGTTGTTGGTCGAAGAGCCTATATGCCATGTTTATATGTAAGTGTATTTTCGATTTGAAGATGTACAGTTACAAGTATTCGATATTTCCTTTCAAAATATATAATAAAATCGATCAGATATCAATTGAAGAAGTTGATAGATTAGCTCATTTACCTAATTCAGTTGTTATAAGGTACAATTAATTTGTTTCTCTGTTTTTGTTCATACTCGAATGTACTTATTATTTCAGTTGTAATATGAAATTGAATATTGAGTATATGCTTGAAACAATATGGACACTATTAAACTTAATTCGTATTTACACAAAAAAACGCGGTGAAAAACCCGATTTTTATGGTGGTTTAATTATGTGCAATGGTGTCCCAGTTGATTTTGTTCGTCGTCCTGTACATCGTATACTTGTTGAACAATTCAAATATGCGTCAGTCTGGTTTGGTAACATTAACGATTTTTCCTGAACAGGCCTGAAGAAATTCTTTTTTTAGTTCATTCTCTTTCATCTTGGGATACTAGTTGTAAATTTAGCCCTTAAAGAGTTACACACGTCTTACAAAATGAAGATGTGATACAAATTGTTAAAAAATAAACAAATTGAACAGTATCTGTTGTTGTTATCGGACTGTATTTTGTTTATTTTGTTCTTTTAGTTCTTTTTAATAAAAAATTAAATATTTTTATTGTATAATCAATTTGCAGGATGAGATTGAATTTACTTTCTCGTAAAGAACACTTCATGTATACGGTTATCTTTTGGCTCACCACGCATATTTCAGGGAGGAAAAACGCTTAACCTATGAATATCAACGACTTTATAGTATTTTTTGAAGTATGCAAATTTAGTGTTACGAATTTTTATTAATTTTTTTTTCGTAATTTTATCGGGTTTATCATTTTTAGTTTTGTTAATTATTTTCTTTGGTTTATTAGACATACGATATTGCTGCTTCAAGCGGACAATTTATTAGCAGTTTAGTGATGAGTACAACATGGGATCATTAGTACGACATCCACATTTTGTAAATTATATCATACGCGGTTAGTATTAGTCAGTATAGGACAGACATTTCTCTTAAATTCATTTTTTATTGTGTTTTAGGACTTATCATCACTGACATATGATCATATATGAGCATATTGAGATATATTTACTGTTCATATTAGTTGCTCGACATGGCGCTACAATGACTTGTTTTTAATTCGCTTGAAAAATTAAATATGAATTAAGTTACCTGATAGAAGAATCTACGTCGAAATAGTAGGTCGATTTGAGTTATCTGAATTAATGGTCTTCGCTTGTGCAAAACTTTTTGATGATTTTGTTTAACGAAATGAACTGATGATTATTTTCCGTTTCGTTATTTTTTACAACACTTTAAACAAAGAGCTGAACAACAAACAAAAGTTATAGAAATTCTAAAAGCCTTTGAATATACCATCCTGTTCTACTATTTCAATAATTGATACTTGCTAACTGCTGAAGTTCTAGTTTCATCAATATTTGAACAATAAAATTGAAATTTTTTCGTAGGATAGTTTTATGTTTGTTGTACGTCAGTTATGAATCATTCAGTAATCGTGGTGAAAAATATTTGATCGAGTCAAATGGATTTGTTGTTTATTAGAAACTGAAAATCATAATGAATTTCCTACAGTAACAATTAAGAGTCCGACGTACGTACGCAAATTGTCAAAACTGTAGAAAATTCACTAGTCTATTTTGTTTTAGGAGGACAACAAAGGAGAGTAAATTACATTTAGTATACTTCATGGCCTCACTAAATCTTAACGATTTTAATGAAAAAATTAACTATTAAATATTATTATCGCTGGTAACAAGATAGAACAAGTCTTTTTTCTCATTTAGAATTTAGTTTTCAAAATCGACACTATGCGTGCTTATTCAACAATAAATACGATTCATGTATAAGTTCTTCCTCGATTATGTGATTATTTGAATAATTAACACAACTATTCTGTCACTTCTATTAATTCTTCTTATGTACTCTTTGTGATATAATCTACTTCATATTATTTTAAACATATCTAAGATAGTCGGCATTATATGCACGTAAATATTTACTTCATTCATGACTTGTATCGAAATAGACACTTTTTAAGAGTGTTCACTTGTCCAATGTTAAATTTGAACGTTACATTGATTTGAAGTCACATGCTAAACACAGCATCTTATACAGAACATACCTAAACTCAATGATTCCTATCTGTTCTATGTACTTCTTTTTAACTGAGATTATTTCTAGTATTCTACTATTTCATACGAATCTTTTGCAATTTTTAATACGTATAAAATCTGACTCAATTAGTGTTCTTGTCGATTTTTTTTTAAAAACGATTAAAATAGGAATAAGATAGCCACAGAAGCTATTTCTCACCAATAACAGAACAGTGTCTGATGGAAGCGTGCTATGATAGAAAATGAGTAAAAGCAATTGCTGATCAGTTAATTATAAAAGAGCTCTTCAGTTTATCAATTAGATTAGTATTGAATTCAATGATTTTCGCTGAGGTTGATTCTTTGCTAATAAACTGGTCAGGTCTATTTTATTTTTCAGATATGTTTGTACTTTTATTAATCTTCTTGTTCTATGGTGTTCATCTTACTTTTCCCCAATATATCCATAATAATCCACTCAATTATCCGTTAAATGAGCATTATCGATTCAATCCAGATATATATCGATCGTCATTTTTCTATCCACCTATTTATAATGTATGATTTTATTCATTTTTACTATGAATTGTTAGAATAATGGACATCATTGTTTCATTTTGCCATTTTAGGTTGATATTCATACACAGTACGGTTATGTCCGAGGAACATCGTACAGTGTAGATTCGTGGTATCCCAAATATGTGTCCGTCTTTCTAGGTATTCCATATGCGAGACCACCAATGGGCATTCATCGTTTTCAGGTGAATTTTTCTGAAATCTTTAAAATATCATTGCGAATAACTTTCTCGCTTTGTTTAGCCCCCATTTCCACCTGATACGTGGGAAAATCGAATAATTTACGATGCTACATATTTTCGTTCTTCATGTTTACAACCATTCTCCGAACAAGAAAAAATTCGTCAACATATTCCTAATTTTCCACCATCAAATTTCAGTGAAGATTGTCTTTATCTCAATATATTTGCACCAAATGTATGGATTTGTTGTTGACTAATGTTTTAGTCATTTGTTTTCTTCTCTTTTAAGCGTACAGATCGTTATATGCCAAAGTTGCCTGTTCTTGTTTTCGTTCATGGTGGAGATTTCATCGGTAAGTTAATCACAAATTTAAGCATTAAATTATCAAAACTTCTCTTTTATTTTGTTTAGGTGGATCATCTCAATTGTACAACGGATTTGTTCTAGCACAACGTGATGCTGTTGTTGTTACTTTTAACTATCGACTAGGACCATTAGGTATGATAACATTTTTTCAAACATTTAGTTAATTTAATTTTTTTCGCTAATTTATTTAGGATTTTTGACTACAAATACAATGAATGGACGTGGGAACTATGGTTTATTCGATCAACGTTTTGCATTGAAATTTGTCTACGACAATATTCGAGAGTTTAACGGCGATCCGGAAAATATAACAGTGATTGGTCATGAAGCTGGTGCGGCGAGTGTTGGACTTCATTTACTTAGTCAAGATCAGCCGTGTAAGTGCTTTGAATTATCATGATGAAAGCATTTGAAGTTGAATTTACTTTGCAGTATATTTTCGACGCGCTGTTCTTATGAGTGGATCTGATTTATGTAAAACATCTTATCTTCGTGATGAACATTTTCCTTTGGAAATGGCTCGAGCACTAGCGCGTCGTGTTAGCTGTTATGATCGTAATGCAAATGCAATGATTGAGTGTTTAAGGCAAAGAGATCCACATAGTCTTATTAACGCACAAGTTCCAGTAAGTATTAATTATTTCTTACCGTTATGTGTAACTTAACGTTGTATTTTAAGTAAAAAACAAGTGTAAATATTTTGCAATCTTTAGTTTCCATATGAATATGGTGGCCATCCGTGGCGACCTACAATTGATTATAATACAGATGATGTGCTGAAACCTATATTTCAAAGTAAACCCATTGAATTACGACGTCTTGGTCTATTTGCAAACGTATCAGTTATGATTGGTACAACATCAGATGAATCAGCTGAATATATTGCACAACAAATGAATTCATATACCATTGAAAATGGTTTATCAAAACATGATTTTGATCAATATATTAATTCATATACTAATAAACTTGTTCAAGATTATTATTCATTTGAACGTCAAAAATTTACGTATGAATACGTTGAATCTGAATATATATTACCAATGGGCGAAAATTATTTAGACGAAGAAACAATAGCAAATTCTCTTCGATATCGATATACATTTTGGCCACAGCCTGATAATAGAACAATGATTCGTCAACGTTTGATCGATTTACATTCTGATTTTCGAACGACATCTTGTGTGGCGGATGCTGCACGTTTTCATGCTATTAAAACGTGGAATTCAAGCTATGAATATGTTTTCTCTTATCATTCATTAACAAGTTTTTATCCCCAATGGATGGTTAGTACGTTGAATATTTAGTTAGTACAATGTTTCTATTTTTTTTCTTCTTTAGGGTGCACCAGCGGGTTATGAACTCTATTATTTATTTGGCGTACCTTTTTTTAACGATTCTATTTTTATGCCATGGTACGGTTATCAAAAACGACAGTTGTACACATTTGTTGATGAAGAAATGAGTAATTATACAATGCACTTGTTTGTTAATTTTGCTCGTTACGGGTATGTGAGACGAATGCTTGTTCTTGTATAACTAGCTTATTTATGAAAGATTTCATAGTATCCCAATTTTTTTAACTCTAATTTTAGAGATCCAACACCTGGCGGCTTTTTGCGTGAATATACTCCGGTATCATTGCAAAATCCGTCTAATCCATATCAGTTTGGTTATGCTAGACGTTTACAAGTTGGCTGGTCACCGATGCTTGTGAATAATATGACATATTTAGATATCGATTATCGACCAATGGTAAAAACTAATTATCGTTTTGACGAAGCTGGCTTTTGGTCTGATTATTGGCCAATGTTATGGAAGAAACGTATTAGTAAGTGTTTTCTTGTTTCAACGATTGAGATTTTTTTGTCTTTTAATTAAATTATGCACTTTTTTAGCTCCTATTCCTACACCCTATTTCAAAGGTGCTATTATGAATCATAAAGATACGACAATTGTCATGTGGATATTAGTTGCTGGTTTGTGTCTATTTTCTATTGTTCTAATTTCTTTATGTTGTATCCTGTTTACACGTATTAGAAAAGAAGGAAAAACAGCAGAATTTGATCGTATAGATAATAATTAGATTTTTTAACGTCGTTCTTCTCAGCTTTATAATACATTCCACTAATTTTGGTGCGATATATTACATGTACTAATTCTGATTTTTTTCTCAGATCAAGTCTTTTGCTCTTCAGCCGCTGGCGGCTATTAGTTTATTCTTGTTTTACGTGGCCACTTTACAGCCGTTTGATTTTCGAAATATCTTTTTTTAACATTTTCTTTTATGAATTGTTTTTTTTTTTGGATGACATTTTAATATTGCCATATTGACTGTATATAAAATTTGTGCGTGTTGATACAAGAAGAGTTGTGATTGTATATATTGTAATAGTTTTAGATTTATTGTCTATCTATTATTTGTGTGTTTTAGTAAATAAATAAATGTCATAGGATAGTTTTGAACTAATGCAATTAGATGAGTGTTAAGTGTGCGTGTTTTTACAGATGAATTCGAAGCATATATATGGAAGTTGATGGAGTTTTTGTTTTTGGATATGATTTTTAATAATTATATAAAGATTTGTCAGCAATATTGTGCATAAGAGTAGTCTAACATAAAAGGAGTGAGATAATTTTTTCTAACCTAACGAAACACAAAGTATCAAAAAGTTTCTTTTCCTGAGTATGGAACGGGCTGAAGTGACCTCAATACTACCTAGATTTCTGTGTATACGGTTGAAATAAATCAAACGCTTTTGGACATAAAATAATCCCCGTCAATGCTGAAGCTGTTTGGGAAAACTTCCTAGGACTTGTCCGTTTTCCAAAGGAAAAGGAAATTTGAAGTATAAAGTTTATATACGAGGATTTTTGTGGTTTCCAGAGGGATTTTTGTTAGTAGCTGTAAACTTTCGGGATGAAATTGTGACTGATCAAATTTCGATTTAAATTTGGTGTTTACAGCTACTGAATGGACTAGTAACAGACAGTGGATTATTGATCTGATATTGTTAGACACAAGTTTTAAAAAGTATTCCCATATCTCTCCATATGATCAGAAAAAAAAGTTATTAAATAGAAGTTTCCCTCGCGCTACTATTCTTATTTACCTTCCTTCTATTTACAGGAGCGTCTATCCTGTTATTTGAGGCACAATATCTCAAACAAAAGTAGGTGGGATGGTTTTATGCTGTAAAAATTCATTTTCTAAGTGGTACACTGAAGACTCGAATCGCTGAAGCAGTACAAAAAGCCTCAAATGCTTAGGTAAGAATAGACACCGCTGCATTAAACAGAAATTATCTTAAATATCTTACGAAAAACATAAACTTTAGTTGTTTCGAAACAGTTTACAGAAAATCCTAGCATTTATGAGTCAGAATAATTTTATATATAGTGAATTATTAATATTTCAATTGTTAGCTACACACTTCAAATATAAAGTGTATTTTTTTATTGTGTTTTTGACAGAGACAGAAATGACGCTTATCTACATCATCTGCTATTTCTTTTCACTTTATATCTACATATGTCTGCTTAAATTATTTCTCTATAGTCGTCTATTGTAGATAGGAGGGGCGATTATCACTGTTTCTCGACCAGGTGTATAACGTTATAATTACGATAGAAAGCAAAAATTGAATTAGATAAGATTTATCGCACTCTAAAGTAAATTATTAAAAAAAAAGATTGTTTCAGATCAAAATTGTTTATCTTATTCTAAATGGTTATAATTATTAGTTTTAACCCTTTCCAGCCTGATGTTGACACTTTTTGCTGTGTTTTCGAAACAGCCGGCTGGAAAGGGTTAAGGAAAAAGATACTTTATAATAGTTAAAACTATAGTACACTATTCTTTGATTCTAATCAAAAACAACATTAAAAGAATTTATTCTATTTCTCCGTTAAAAATAGTTTAAACATATGTATAAAAGCAAAAGAAATGCGAATACTGTTATTCTCTTGAGTATTTCATGAGTAATAAAGTCTCGACTGTAATGGCGTTAATTTTAATTCGATCATCTTACCACTTCTTAACATAGCACATTTTGGTGATGTCATATATTCAAGAAGAAAAACAAATTCAAAATTTCTACACATACCCGTATAATAGATGATTACTTAGTTAAACAGGTATCTACAAATAAATAACTAAATATTATGTCTTAAATTTTATTTTATTTTATTTTATTTTTTTTTTATTTTTAAACCCAGAGCACGTGACCAGCTGAAAATCGAGGCAAGCCCCATTACATTCATCTATAGGTCACGGTCTGAGGCAATGAACATGAATAGCTTGCCCAAGGCCATTACATAGCTGCTGTCATCTAGATGGATTCGAACGCGGCACTTGTAAATACGTTGTCCTAGCCATTAGCTAATACAGCCATGCTGCACAATACAGCCATGCTGCACAATAATTTGTTCAATAATTTATTATATTAAATTACTACAAGAACGATGAAGTGTTACAAGCGTATTATATAATTTAAATAAAATTAGACATAATATTAAAATACAAATATTCTATATATGTCACAATACAATGTTCTACTATAAACATACACGGTTGATACGTAATCTGCTATTGTATTGTCTTGTATAAACAAAAAAAAAGTCGAAAAAGTATAACTACGTTGAACTTAAGTTTTTCTCTCAGAAATCTTTCTCTTCATAAAAAAAGAAACGTTTCCAACTACCGCCTTCTTTTGTCGAATTTCTTTTGTAAGATATAGAAAATAGGCTTTTCAGTAGCAGAAAAATTCATATAACGCTCATAAATCTGATACGTGTACGCTAAAACTAGAGAATTAAAGGTTTTCAAACAAGCTGAGTGTGATTGCGATGTTAGTTTGATTTTATTTTGATCTTGGTAGCGAAATTCTGGAAGAAAACGTTTTTAAAGCGTGGTGGCTTTTAATATACAGAAATTAAATTTGTAATACTCGTGCTTTAAATTTTACAGCAAATTCATTAAAAAGAGCATACTTTCAACTGTTCGAATCAGTTTTTTGTTTAACTCAAAAGACTAAAGTTTCTTGAAAGGATTTTTTCTCGAAGAAGATTTTTGATAACGACCTAAAATTTCAATTCACACATAGTTGAAAGAGAAAACTTGAAAAGGGAAAATTAAAATTAAATATCTCATGTAGATTTACGTACGAGAGAGAAGAAAATAAAACTTTTTAAACTAAAGGAGAACGTATTTCTATCAAAATAAAAGAGGAAAGAACTATTTGAACGAATATGTCTATAAGTCAATACGACCTGTGGGCATGAAGGAAGAAGAAAAGAAGATGATACGTCTCCTATTTCTTCTTTAAAAATCACATTTTTGCCGTAAAACACAATTTTTCTAATAAGATAAATGTTTCAAAGCTAAAATTCTTATCAAATATTTATCTTCATAGTTGGAAAAAATCAAAAAAGAAACCTCGTCTATCTAAACGCTACTTACCGCAAATCTAAATAAAAAAGACAAATCAAAAATTGAACCGCATATTTAACGAAAAATGTTTTTGCTTTATCTTAGAAATTCATTTTTTATACCACAAGTTCGACAAATACTTGATCTATCGATCGTGCATATTTTTTAAAGTTCGTCGATATCAAGGCTCGGTGAGATATACAAACATTTATCGCGTTCTACACAAAAATGTCGTAACGTGTCAAACTAGTATTTTTGTGTTTTCGAGTAGATAGTTAATATAGATTAAAACATTCATTCTTGGCGTTAGATAATCCTAAATGCCAGCTACAAACTGTTAGTAATAATGTATAGGTTTAGTTGATAAGAACTGTGTTGAAAACAGTGGTAGGCGACAAAAATACTTTTCTTTTATGTTCTGTTTTGCAGAACTATGAAAGATAAAGACATGGTTTTCTTATAATAGATGATCTAATTATAGAGAAAAAAAAGCAAAACAAAATTTTCAAAATTTATACAAGAATCATAATCATTTTAAGTTTCACACTACAGCAGTACAATATAAGCGCAAATCACTTATATTTTGCGTTTGAACAAAACATTTTCGTTTTTAGCTAAAAAGAGAACCTTTTATTCAAAAGATTAAAATGAATTAGGAAAACTATATGTGACGAAAAAAGCAAGGAGAGATGATGAAGAGGGAAATGGAAATAAAGAGAACGAAGAAACATCAAGTTAATAACAACAAGAGTCACTGAGCAACAACGATATTGGTTTGTTTGTAGATAGACAACAAATTGAGTCTAAAATAATTTATGAAATATTAACAAATCCTTGATCACTACCTTATAATTACAAATTTAGTAAATTAAATATCTACAGTGTAGTAAGATCTATCTGTTCATTCAACTTATTCGTGACTATCGTATTCACGTGTTCATGAAGGAGGATTTTTGTCGTTATCATATTTTATTTAAAAGAATATATGCAATAAGAGATCGTACACAGAATAAATTAGGTCAATTAGTTTTAAAGCCCCTTCGGTCATTGAAAGGTGCATCTAATTTTGTAAAAAAACACGAGAAAAATGACTATCACTTATTATTAACAACACAAGTTGAACAATTTATCAAAACCTGCTCAGATCCTGACACAAGTATTGATCGTATATTAGATAAAGAGGATAAAGATCAAATCATTACTAATCAAAAAGTGTTAACGATTATCATTAAATGTATTCTATTTTTGGCTAAGCAAAATCTTGCATTTCGTGGTAATGATGACCATGGTTTTCTGAAAAATGTATGCAAAGAATGCAATGTATATGAGTGGTGAAATTCAGAACTAGTTGATAAATATTTGTAAAAATTTCATACAAAAATAAATAGTCAAACAATAAGTCGATCAACAAAAATTTTATTCCATATTAGTTGATGAAACCTCGAATGTTAGAGAAACTGAACAACTCTCACCGGCTGAAAGATATTTATCTTGGAAATATGATGGCGTAGAGGTCAAAGAAGATTTTATTGGTTTCATTCCTCTTCATGCTGCTGGTATATCCGACAAAATTATGGAATTTATACGTGCTGCTGGTCTCGATTTATTTTATTTAAGAGGTACAATTCTGTTTCATAGTAATTGTGGTGTATAACTCCAACATGTTTTTAGGATAACGGTGCGAATGTCATGTCTGGACATCTTAATGGTGTTCAAAAAATCATATCTAATATTCTACTGAAGGTGATTTATATTCATTGCTCAAGTCATTCATTCAATGGACTTAGCAATATGTGACGCATGTAATGAGAGTGTAATAAAATCATTCTTTGATCAGTTAGAGTAATAATTAAATTTATTAATTCGCCACCAAAATGTCAGTCGATGGTTAGATTGACAATCCAAGCAACCACGTGTACCGCAAGAAAAAGAAAACGAACAAAATTAGTTTAGCATCGTTGGGTAAATAAAGATGTGTCAATTCTAACGTTCCATCAATTGAATCCTGCGATTGTTATTTTGTTAGCATTTATGATAAAGAATGGCGATGCAGAAACGAGTGGTAATGCGAGAATTTAAAATGTATTGTCGATATTGATTTTATAATCCCATTGTTTGTTGTGTCAAAATATTTGCTATTACAACACCATATTCTGAAGCGTTTACAAGATACGAAATGTAGTAAGTTAGTCATTCGTTCTGTCGATAAAATGCGTAGTTTATGTACATTTAGATCTCATTCAATTGAATTTCAATATGATAAACTTAAACTCGATGAATTACAAAATGACCTTAAACAATTTTCTCGTGATAATAATGTTGAATTAAAAATATCAAGAACTAGTAAACATAAAACAGTTGAATTATATTTAAAACATATTTATGAAACATTCATACAAACAACTCTCGATCAATTATCGTACAGATTTAGTGAACATCAAAAAATAGTAGTGAAAATAATGACCTTAATTCCAGTTTATGTGGTAGATCGAACAGTCTATACGATATTAAAAATTCGTTGACTTTTATAAAGATGATCTATCGTCAGATGATAATAGTGTTATCTACACCAAATTTCATATGTGGGAAAATAAATGGGAAAAAATAAGAGTAGAAGAGAGACCAACAAATATCAATGAAACATTAAATGATTAGTTCGTTATCGATCATTCTTTTCAAAGTTAAATCAATTATTCGAATTATTTGCCGTTTTGCCCGTAACAATAGCGACAGCTGAACGATCATTTTCAACAACGAAACTAATTAAAAATTATTTAAAAAACAGTACTGGTAATAACCGATTAAGTAATGTTACTCTGATCCATATTCATCTATAAAATGCAAAAGAATTAAATGTTGAAGATGTTGTTAATGAGTTTCGTAAAGACAAACGTCAAATCAAATTTACCAAAGATTGAACAGAACCGATTTTCTCTATTCTTAACATTTTTAGAGACATTTCTAGAAGGGGTGTTAATTTAGTGTCATATTAGAAAATAAAAATAAATTCGTCATTTATATTTATAAAATAAATAATAAATAACTGAAAAAAAATTATCTTTATAAATAAAGATAAATGAGTCTTACCTTTATCTTTAAAAAATAGAGGTAAAATAAAGATTTTTTTTTTGCTGTTTTCAAGTGACTTAACAAACAGAAAAATGTCATCGTTGATGCCCTCACCTTCTTCTCAAATCATACGCTGATTATTGCTCTTCAATTGTTCAAATAAGTGGTTTGAAGTCATGATGAACTACCCAGATCGACTAGAACTAACCTGACTCGAAAAGAGGAGATTGAATAGAACAAGCACAGCGAGTTCAGAGAAAAAATCGTGATCGCAGACGGATAATAATCATTTTATTTATCTTTATTTCTTTATTTTTTGGAATTATCTCTACAAATTCATGTGTTTTCAATCAGAAACATCTTTTAAATAAAGTACTTCGTCTGAATAACAACAACTTCTGTGGTCTTAGAACAAATCCACATTTACTGCATATATTCCATAAAATCAAATCTTTATTTCTTTATTTTACAAAAAATAATTTCTTTGGGGCTGTCCTTTTTTGGTCGTTGATCTTCCGAACATCCGACCCAGTGACGGGATGCTCGGAATTGGGTCCGTATAGCATAAAATCGTTTTTCCGGGTGTTCGGAAAGAAAAGTATGACCAGTTATAGAATTTACAAAGAAAGCCCTAAATTCTGAATCGCTAGGTTGTGCTATCGTTCTGAACATCCGATCTTTTTTCATTCCGATCTTCCGGACTCCTCATTTCGAACATCCGGACTTTTTCAAAAAAACGGGAGCTCGGAACGGACTACTCTGTCGGATGTCCGTAAGAAAAAGCAAGGACGAAAAGGGACGCGGCCAATTTTTGTTTCATTTATTTATATTTATTTTTTAAATATAAATGACGAATTTATATTTATCAATTATTATAAATGAACAATAAAACTAAATTAACACCCCTAATTCCTAGATCTTCTCTTTCTTTCTCCTCTCAAAAAACTTTTTTTCGTCTTATCTTTTGTAGTAACTTCGAACAGTCAAAGCGATAAATGTAATGTGGAGATAAAATATAAGAAAAAATTTATGGTTCAAATAACTTTAAAATGGTAATTCAGACTAGTGAAAATGGATTTTTTCCCCAGATGCCCACCCCTTATCAAAATCCTGGCTATGGTCTTGAGATTGGATCTCATATACAACGAGAAGACTCATTAGAAAATGCTGTTTATACCTTATGCTTCAGGATCGATCTCAGAAAAAAAAGACTACAAAAATACGATCTGTTAGAACAACTGTATGAGTGATGACGCATCATCAGAACGTGTGTATAGATCGCGTTGTAAAAGATCGAGTACACGTGTTAAAAGGTAATGTAACTAAAATTTTAAAACACAACCATGTATGTGATTAGTTTAATGATGATATGTAACACTAGACATGTTCCACAACTTATTAGAGAAAGAAAAGAACAAAAAAAATTAACTTGTGACTGAAGCGCGACTAAGAGACTTGTTCTCTTCTCAAGTTTTGTGGCATACAATTTTTGTTTTTTTCATTTATTTTCAAGTTCAACTTTTATTTGGAGTGTCATGAATGACCTACTTTCTTAATCAACCTTCTCAAAATACTGTCATACTTTACCTTTAATTCTAATATATCATAGGGTGTGGAGTTGTCTGAGGTACACAATGATGAAAAAGCGTTTTTTATAAAAGGAATTTCTGAAATAGTTTTCAGCTCTTAAGCATAACCTCAAACGATTATACCTTGTAAGAGAGTATTCAACTCTTAATTCCCGTTCGGAAACTTTTATTTATATCATCAAACAATATTATCTCCTACGTGCTATTATCTGAAATGTGCGTAATAAAACGAAAGATAGACCTTCTACTCAATTGTATTACACATTACACATTCATTATCTGTCATTAATGAATTACAGATCGGGTATCATGTTAAATATATAAAAGAGTATAGTTATGGAATCTACGCATTTTATTTTTTTCTAGTTATGTATTCCGTATCTTCGCTATTAATCGAAAATAAACGGTAAAAGTTCGTTATATAAATTCTTTTCGTTGTTAAAGACAAGATAAGATACATTATGAATATAACGAAAAGTCTGCGTCATCATGTATAAAATATATTTGCAGAGCTTGTGTAACACCTGATTCATCACATTCATACACATGTATATTTTGTACAGTCAAACAATCAAACATGTTCCTCAATGACTTTTAAAATAAAGTTTTTTCAATTCACTTCATTCTTTGCTAAAAGTGATCTGACTTTCATGACGGCATATTCAGGTCATTGAATCAAATACTACATAATTCGAGTAAAAATTTATGTCTTGAAATTTTTCTTTTACTCAAGAGATAGAAGAGTATCTGGAGAATATGAAAAGTTCAACACTTTTTTAATTA